TGTAAAGAAGTTGATATAAAATGATTTATAATATCATAATTTTGGACACAAAAAAGCTCTACAGCGCAGAGGAATAAAATATATAAGGCTTTGGATACAGGTACAGTATTTGTAATCAGAAATTAGTTAATTGTTGGGTTGGCTCTGCATAAAACATTTGCATCATGTACTAACTTTTCACTCTCCAGGCTTGCTATTATAGCCAGGTTCAATTCCTCATCGTCAGAAGACGTTTCAGAGAGGGCAGCCATTACTGAAAGGTAGTTCTCATAGTTTGCTGATTGATGGTGTGTTGAGGTATAGGCAGAACAATGACTTGCTGGAAGGCTGCTCTGGTAGGGTGAAGTTGAGATATCTTCGCAAGTCAGGACCAGAGTTGGATCAACTGTAGTTACTCCTCTTAATGATGAGGTAGAAAGCTGACTGGTAGAAGGGCAGCTCTCCAGTGGACATACTGGCACCGGAGCAGAAGAACTGCTTGCTGAAATGCTGCTGCGGTTGGGAGATATACTGCTTTGGGAGGTCAAAGAAGAAGTTTGAGTAAATATCCCTCCACACCCAAGTGAAGAGGGTAAAGGTTGAACTGCAGAAGCACAGTTTGGTGGGGACACAGTCATTGGACTGGTGAAGTTCTCTGAAGATGCATATGAGGGTCTATTTTGTGGTAGAGATGAGGAGCGTAGCTGCCTTGCTGAACCAGTGATTTCCTCACAATTGTTGTCGCCACTGCTATAGCCTGCAGTATCATCCTGGGAAAGACATAAGAAAGATATCAGCATATATTTCAGATTTACTAAATGTCTACTGTAAACTGAATAGTACCTGGAAACACCAGATCTATATTTATTATATATTTCTAAGAATTACTTTGGTTTGACATTCAAGGACCAGTATATAGGATTTAGTGGCATCTAGCAGTTAGGTTCTAGATTTCAACCAACTGAATAACTCGCCTTCCAAACGTGTAGGAGAAACTATGGTGGCGCTCTTAAAAAGGCCCTAGAACCAGTGTTTGTCTATTCTGGCATACTGCAGAAACATGGCAGTTCAACTTGGAGGACTTCATAAAAGAGAACCAGCTCCCTTAGTAAATAAAAATGGGAAAACCCCTAAACCCTAAGGTAACACCAACTATCCTTATTTTCAGTTGATTATACACCAATGAAAATATACCAAAGGTCAGAGCTAACTGACAAGATTTAACCTTAATGCATGCATGTGTATGCACCACTTATGGGTTATTATTACAGTGGGTTTAATATTATTCTGCAATTGAATTCAATTATATAACATACCAGAATTGGCTTTGATGGTCTGATGTATAGGGCTTTCGATTTATATATTTTATGTATGAGATTTGCATCCAGCTCCTGTCCGGCACGCAGTTTGGGTGAAATCAGTCTGTTGCCACATGCCATCAGAAAGTCCAGGCTGAAAAACAGCAGGTAAAATTGCAAAGGTTTTAAGAAAAAAACAGGCCCAAACAAACTTTTTTGCACAGGACACAGTGAAACTGATCAGTCGGTGTTCCATTTCCACAACAGAATTTATAATAAATAAAATAATAATTCATGCCACTGTTCATTTCAGTTAGTCATTTAGAATCACAGTTTGGACACAATAAAAACAAATAAAAGTCCGTACCTTACATCAGTAGAGAGTTTTTCTCCAAAGGCATCCCTTATTTGTTCAGTGACAGTGCTCTGGTCCCAGGATTTTTGGAATTCAAATCCATTCAATATATGTCCCTGTTCATGTAACTGTTGCTTTGTGCGATGCCTGACGACAGCACTGCTCGATGGTTTTGGAAGAAGGATGACATCTTTGTTGAAAGTATCGTGATAATGTGTTTTGGCCCTACAAAACAAAGCAGACATATGTGTTATTTTTGGATCCTTTGCATCCTTAATTACATGCCCCAATACTGGTGCATACTAGTACATACAATTATTTGATTCATTTAAATTAATAAGCTGATGGATAAACAACAAGACAAAGAAGGCTGCCCAAACAGAAAACTGCAATAAAACTCCTTTTACTTTAAATTAGGCATTATCTTTACAGGGTTACATTAGTTAAATTAGTAACCCTCTACTGTCATTTAGGAATGAAAAAAAAATTCTGTATTTCTGGTCTACATTCCATTAAACATACTGCATGTTCTGACAATATTTTGATATGGACTGACTGAACCTGCTACTGCTGACAACTCTTCACTTTAGCCACGCAAGCTAGAATTAACATCAGCTCCACAGTTTGACACAAACTAATGGCTGACTAAAATGGCCGATATCATATGGCCAGACTCTGGCTCAAATTTTCAACTGCCATAACAGGACTAAATTTAAATTCCAGAACACTCAAAATACCAAAAGTTGCAGTTAGCAGTTTTGGTTATCGTCAACATTGGTTGATTATGCTGTTAAAAGATATATTATAATCTACTGAAAGATAAAATATGATGGAGCTGGGAGAGTGTCAGCCATGTCTCTCCTCACCTGCTCTATAATGCTCTATAATCTTACACATACCTTGATTTGCCCTTAAGTCAACTTAACGTGAAGTTGAACTATTAACTGAAAATGATAATACCTTAACCACAGCTGTCGTTAGGTTATGTAGCTACCGCTAACGTTAGACACATTATTATAAGATTACCAACTTAACCTTAGAGTGACACAGAGAATCATTTACACCCATTTTATACAAACGTTACTCAAAAGTACAAAACAGCCTTCGATGTTTTCTGTCATTTGAAGATTGTTTAATTGCCTTTATTGTTTTTACTAAGGAGGATTTACGGGTTTTACGAACATGTAACATAGACATTGACTGCAGCCAAATTAGCAAACGAGCATTCGGGATTCAGTAACTTCCAGTTAAGTTACCATGTAACGCTACGTTTTTCTTACCTTTTCCTTTTCCTGGAGCCCCAGTTGCCAAAGTGTTGCTGTGTCTCATATCGTAAAGACTGCCGCAATCCTCCAGTGTGTCCTTGTGTAGCGCTAACGTTAGCTGCTCTGGCTGCGGGAGCGACTTGGGAGTTTCGAGGTCTGAAAAGTTCTCTCATCTCACTTTCCGCCGTGCTGTGAGAAACGTTAGGTCCTGATGAGCTTGTCCTCCGCTGCTCAAGGGACGAGGACAATGATGTGACTGTTTCAGATGATGATAAAATAGTTCTTAATACCCCAATGGCTTGCTGCAGTGCACGGGCCTCCTCTCTCCCTTCCATGTTAATCATGACCTGTACATGACCTCGCGCCAACTTCTCAGCCAATCACAGCGCGATAAAATGGCCTGCCTTCCGTTTCCACTATTGTCCTTCCGTTTCATGTATACTTTGTCTCACACACACATATATTCCTCTCACACACACATATATTCTTCTCACACACACATATATTCTTCTCACACACACATATATTTTCCTCTTACATACATATTTAAAAATATATGAATGTGTGAGTGAAAATATATGAATGTGTGAAGGAAAATATATGTATGTGAGAGTAAAAATATATGAATGTGTGAAGGAAAATATATGTATGTGAGAGTGAAAATATATGAATGTGTGAGTGAAAATATATGAATGTGTGAAGGAAAATATATGTATGTGAGAGTAAAAATATATGAATGTGTGAAGGAAAATATATGTATGTGAGAGTGAAAATATATGAATGTGTGAGTGAAAATATATGTATGTGAGAGAGAAAATATATGAATGTGCGAGTGAAAATATATGTATGTGAGAGTAAAAATATATGAATGTGTGAATGAAAATATATGTATGTGAGAGTGAAAATATATGTATGTGAAAGAAGAATATATGTATGTGAGAGGGAATATATATGTATGTGAAAGAAGAATATATGTATGTGAGAGGGAATATATATGTATGTGAAAGAAGAATATATGTATGTGAGAGGGCCAGAATGAATAATGTCTTGTACGGCCCCTCATAAATTCGCCTAAATTTGACTTGTCAACTGTTACAGAGCTCCATCTATGGGCTCAGAGAGCTGGTAGAACAGCTCAACCCAACCTCAACCCCCTCTATGCATGCACACACACACACACATACACACAAATGAACCGAGCTATATCGCTTCCCCTCATTTTCCGCTGTGCTTGGACCTATTTCTGACATTTCGGTTAGGGATCCACATATAGTTTTAAACATTTCCTCCCTCTACAGCTCACCTTTGATTATTAAAGGTTCAGCTTGTGCCGAAGTTTAGTTAATATTAATATGATGTCTCTATCACACCGTGCTCCCAATAAAAAGGTTCTTGTGTCATATGCCTAAATTTGATGGCTGTACCATTTGGGCAGTCTGTTTATTGACACTAGACAGCCACAGACACTCTGTATAAGTGTACCTGCAGATTTATGAAGGTCCAAGATATGTGCAAATTTATGGCTCAAGTTGACACAAGGGTGCTAAATGCAGAGTTCCCCCTTGATGAATCAGAGTAGCCAGACAGGAGACTGCTGGAACAGGCCTTGAAATATGATAGATGTTCAATGTTTCAGCACCACAAACAAACTCTTGGTGTGCAGCATTTCTTGCAGCTTCCATGTACACATTGGATGGTTACGAAATAAAAATTGTTTGCAAAGGGATGTGTGTGTGAGCTTATCATTTTATTCAAGACATACTTCACTTAATTACTTCAGTGAAGTATGTCAATCAAAATAGCAACTTAAGGCCAACTTTTACTAATATTTTCCTCAGAAACTTAAACAGTATCTGTGTTCATCTACAAATAAATTGCAGCTGAAGTTTTTTTTTTCCTCTTTGTAGTATTTTTCATGTCGTTACTTTATGGAAGACAAGAGCAGAAACACTTCATAAGTGATCAGACATTTGCATCAGTGCAGACCTTTCTAATCAGTGGGGTTGCGTTGATAAACCTTCATGCGGTGATTGGTGGCTTGAAGGCCAACAGGACAGTGTGACCAGACTTAAAAAGGCACCACTGTTGCACCGGGACAGCAGTCATTCAAAGAGATGGGTGGCATGGCAAGTCTCCTCCTTTTGCTGTGGGTTGGTGAGTAGACAACTATCGCACTTATTATAATGTATTGTTTGTGTCACAATATTTGTGAAATAACCACTTTTTTTGAGTAAACTATTTTTATTCAATCCATTTCATATAAAACCTTGTTCTCTACAACAACCAGTGTTTTAATTTACAGCCACCTGGTGGTGGACATTCTCTTTCAGGTCTCACAGTGGGCAAAGTGGTGGATCTGCAAAAGAGAATCATTGGAGGGCACAATTGTAACAACAATGAGCGTCTGTACCATGTGAAATTGATAGCAAAAGTAGATGCGACCCATGAGTCATTGTGTGGTGGCTCCCTGATCAGTGACCAGTGGATTCTGACTGCAGCTCATTGCTGGGAGCCCAGATGGTGAGAAAATTACTGTTTTACTAAAAAACTAGTAACAATATATTTCTTTTCAATAAATTAAATCTGAAAGTCTTATAGCCATTGGTGATGATCTCATGTAATACTAGCATTCCCAAAATAAATATAGCATTGTACTGCAAAAACTATATTTCTAAGTGAGTATAATATTATATTTAGGTTTAAAATCTAGTTAATAATACTAACAATACATTTTATTTATGGCTTTCATGGTACTCAAATATACTACACGTAAGTTAAAATACATTGGTAGATACATAGTTGGACTCGTTTTGAGTGTGGACTGGAATATCTAGTGCTCACATGCAAGGCTGTTTGACTTATTTCAAGTAAATGTCAAGCCTTGTCTTAATTAGAAATTAAATTAAATCTTATTTGGGTATATTTTTAGCTATATACAAGGGAGATATTATGGTGCGTTCGTTTTGTCCACCCGACTCGATCGTTAAGTCGTCTGAGCTCAGAGGACCCCGAGTTCAGTTACCAAGATGGCTACTCCGAGCGTCACACGTAGTAAACATTGTGGTTTTCTACTATTTTAAGCACTTTTGTCTTTGTTGTAACCAAATGAAGAAGTCGTACACCCAGCACTGTATACTATTCTGTACAGTCTTATTATGTGTTAAATACCGCCTCATTAGTTATTTTGTAGCTTGTGCAGCTGAAATTGGCTAGAGACGCTTCATGTTGCTATGACAACAGTGCCGAGTCTTGAGCAAAAAGCAGAGCAGTAGCCACATTAACGTTAACGTTAATCAAAACAGAATATTCAGATATCAAACTGTGAAATATGATTGTGTAATATGTAATGAACATGTGACATCCGCGGTGGGTGCACCGTAAACCAGATAATCACTATAAACGTTACGAAATGTCCAAACTGCAGTCGTGTTGTGTGCCAAACAGAACGCAAAAACCCGCGGTTACTCGTTTTCAAACATGGATGTGACGTCGCTCTCGAGCTGCAAGTCAAAACGAACGCACCATTAGCTGCAGGACTTGCAGTTTGTTTTGAAACTTATTTTAAGAAAAAAACATCTTATTTCAGGTTTTAGTATTTAGGCTTACATTATTCTTGACTTTATCTTGGAACAAAATATCTAATTTGAAGGTTTAGATTTGTTCACATTAGTTTTGTTTCAACCCATCACATTCCATTGAATAGTGCTTCAGATGATTAACATCACTTCCATGCATACAATACAAAATTATAGTCTCAGAACAACACTCAATAAAATGAATAATAATATAGAAACTAATAAAAACTAAAAACTTTAAATTTAAACTATAAAAACTAAACTGAAATTAGCAGCCTCCCTCTGGAAACTAATTGAAACTAAACTGAAATGAAAACTAATTAAAAATCAAAACTATTGAAAAATAATAAACTATATTAACTGTGGACATTAGTTTTGCAGGTATTTGGTCATAAGTCAAAGTATTTAACTAATTCTAACTTGGTGATGGTGATGACATGAATACATAACACTATCTGAATCAGTCTATCTAGTACACATATTTTTTGACTCAATACAGTGGTGTGATAACAGATTCCCCAAGATATTTCTTTTGTTATATCATTAAATCTTACTGCGTGTAATGCACTGCACTGGCGGATACGTTTCTCATGTTATTGTTATATTCTGATAGAAAATAGATACTTTATTAAATAATTTTGCAGTGTGCTTATCTTCATGTTCAGGAATTACTGACCTGTAATAATAAAATATGTGTATTAACAGTAATTCAGTGATGTTCTTCTTTAACTTTTTCTACTGATTTGCAGGATTATAACTGCACATTTAGGAGTGCATCCACGTCAAGGACACGGGAACGCTCAGCAAATGCAAATCACGGAGGATCCTCAGATCTTTACAGACCAAGACAACAACAACAATGTCAGGCAGCATGACATCATGCTGCTGAAGCTACCTCGCAAAGTTACGATCAGACCGGTACAACTTCCTGACTGTAAAAGACGTCCTAATGTGTGAGTTGTGATGTTTTTTCAATGCAGCTGTCGGCGGGGGGGGGGCTACTCTAGTGGAGTATCGGACTGAGAATAGCTGAGCTTTGACATTTTAATACTTATTTAATGATTCTGTTTATTGTATTACAGAGGTGCTACAGTTCAGATTGCAGGTCATGCAGCTAGGTTTGAAGGTTAGTGTTTTTTCTTGTATGTATGGTAAGTACAGTACAGTTTTATTACGTCTTAAAAACTGTTATTAATCATATTTATGCATGTATGTAATAAAACTAGTGCTGGGCAACGATTACAATTCTTAATCGCGATTAATTGCCTGATTTTCGCAAAATTCAAAGAAGTGTATTGGGCACTTTTATTTTAAAAGTACTGCTATATGAACAAAAGTGCAATAACATTTGGTTTGAATACACAACTTTGCACTTTAAACAAATAAGTTGATTTTTAACAGCAGTATTCCCTTTACACAGTAGCAGTTCAAATAGTTCTTGCACTATCTGTGCTAAGTGTGCAGACTTTAATTGAAACGTTCCACTGCTGTGCAACATGAATAAAACAAAATGTCTCTCTGGTTTCATGACAGTCAGAGTATGTGAATGCAGCTTCCACTGTCCATCAATATAATGCACTGTAACTCTGAGGTAACTATGGTTACCCAGCGATGTCCAGTAGTCTCCAGTCACTTTCGTAGTCCTCTCCTTTTCATATAACTTGTAAATTCTTCTTGTGATGGTGCGTCTTGAGGGAGGCTCATAGTGCCGTCATTCGTTGCGATCCTATCTTCCACAATACTAACCGGCCTGCAGTCTGAAGCTATCCACTTTGCTATGGCATTTGTTAGCTTGTCTTGCTTTTGTTCATCTATACTTCTCCCACACACTGCATCCAACGTAGTCTGCCGAAGCCTCCCTCCACTCCCCTCCTGTGACCCATGGTTTGTCTGGATGTGTATTCAGAGCCAGTGAGCAACGGACTTTGAAAATAATAAAAATAGTAAAAAAATCTGCGTTAACACAAGATAAAATAATTGTCGGCGTTAATTAGGCTAATTAATGCGTTAATGCGATAATAACGCGTTAACCTGCCCAGCTCTAAATATTACATTTTTTTTTCAGTAGACTTTCAAGCTTTAAGGTCCAGTGTGTAACATTTAGTAGGATCTATTGGCAGAAATGGAATATAACACTCATAGATATGTTTTATTTCACGTAGCCTATGTGTTCATTACCTTACAATGAGCCTGTAGCTATTATCTATAGACGCTGCGAGTCGCCTTCCGTGGCGGCCGCTATGTTGAACTGCCATATTTCTAAAATAGCCCTGAATGGACAAACCAAGCACTGACTCTGTTTTAGTGCATTTCGCAGCCACCATAGAGTCTCCCTCGTGTATAGAAAGGGAGGGGGAAGCGAGTGAGTTGCTCTCTACAACCATACGGCTAGGTGCTACTAAATTCTACACACTGGTCATTTAACTCTGCATATTTCAAGATGTTTTAATATAACAGAACTTTTTGTTGGTGGAATTACTTTCTGTGTACAAATATAACGATGTGATGTGTTTTGTGTTTCTAGCAAATAAACGCTCATTTTCTATTCTTATTTAGTACCTCCTTATGTACCCGACCTCCAGTGTGCAGACATTAAGGTTGTCACATGTCCGCATATCGTAGTGAACAACGTAGACTGGAGTTATCAACACTGGTTATGTGGTAGGACTCGTGGAGTGGATACATGTCCAGTGAGTAGGCATGGCTTCTAAGCATATATATTTTCTTTATATCTAAATTTTACCACTTCAATATAAATATGTATTTCAGTGTCTTAAGCAATATATACATCTCTTTCACAGGGTGACTCTGGTGGAGGTGTGGTGTACAATAACAAGATTTATGGTGTCCATTCAAACAGTGGAACATATGCCTGTACTGCAGAAGCTGCATTCATGGATGTCTGTGAATACATACAGTGGATCAGAATTGTCACCGGACTCAACTAAACGCATGTCTTTGGTGTGGTTAACTGTGAACTGTCCTGTGATTTAAAAGGCTTTTCACATGTATTAAGTAAACTGATGAGTTACTCTCAATTTGCAATTGATACATTTACAATTGATGGATTTACATTAAATGTTTAACTATCATTTGTAACGTCCTTTAAGACAAACAATAAAAGTGATTCTACAACATGACTGTGATTTCTATAAGGTATTGTCTAAGTCACAAATGTCAACAGATTCTTGCTGTTATACTGTTCTTATGGTAAAAACTACTCTTTCGACTTTTTACCAAAATGTCACACAATTGTATGTTTTCCAATATGTAAATTGAACAAATTTGACCTGTTAATATATAGTGAGTTTATGGAATAACTAAAAAGGGACAAACCCCTAGTGACAATACAGGCTACAGTAATAATCAATATCACTCTCCCGTGTCAATTAAAATAAAATATAGATAAATATAAAGACTCACAATCATTGTTTAACAGATTGTTATTGTTTTTATGGTTTCAATGCCGCTTGGGGGTAGCTGAAACAAGTTCTTAACACAGTTCCCTGCTGAAATCTTCATAAAAAGCTTAGAGGAGTAAGGCAAGCAACATGCAAAGAGCAATGCAAGGAATCAATATAAATTAATTTTAAGCAGACAATCATTATAATAACTACTGGGCAGCATGTTGTAATGTCTTGAAACAAACAAAACCTTCTGAGTTTTTACAAGTTGGGGAAAGTAGATCTGAATGAATCAGTCAAAAACAGGTAGTTGGATAATCAAGACACAATAGACACAATTGTTGAGTACTCACCGACCCACAGACAAAGGAGAAGAAGTGGCCTCGTGACAGCAGTACCTTTTAAATGCCATTAATGCACAGGTCACAGGCATACACTTATTATAATGAACAGCAACAATCAATGTCGAGGACATAAAAACAATAAAGTATATATAAAAATACTTACAAATAGAAAATTAAAATAATAGCCACTGTACATTCAGGACTCACATGAGTTTTGTTCAGATGTAGGGGGCTGGCCAAACTAGCTGTTGCTTTTGGGCTGTTTTCCTTTTTATGTAGCAACATTTTAACACATATTTCTCTGAATAAAAATCATACTGGTCCTCTGACATTCAGTAAAGAGTGTGCAGAACATGTAATAGAAGTCAGTGAGCTCACAGGGCAATGACATAAAAGTATTTCCATAGATTATAGTTTAAGTTAATTTCCCTGCTGTCACTTTGCAGCCAATGGGGCTGTGTTGATAAGCCTTCATCAGGTGGTTGGTAACTGCTGCTGTTGTAACAGAAAGGCAGTCATTAGATGTGAATGGCAGCGCTGACTCCTATGATGCTTCTCCTTCTGCTTTGGGTTGGTGAGTATTCAAAAATATATATTCTTTAATCCTTTACATACACAGTTACTGTGCTCCTCACACAGGATACACAAAACATATTTTGATAAATACGACTGAAACAGGAACTTTGTTTGCATAACCTCCATGGGACACCTTTGTCACTTGGGTTTATAGTTTTACTTTAAGGGGCCATTATAGCATATATCCATAGCCTAGCAATGGTGGCTAGGCTATGTGGTATCTATCTATCTATCTATCTATCTATCTATCTATCTATCTATCTATCTATCTATCTATCTATCTATCTATCTATCTATCTATCTAAAACAACGCTGAACTACAAATCAAAACTTGGCATGAAGCATCAACCCAACTTGAATCAAAAACATTTGTCTGGTCTGTGAGAGCCACTTGCCTGGACTCCTGAGAACTCCTTTTTATTCTACTAAGAGCATATATCATGTTTTTACGGAGTAAAAACAACCCCAGTTTTAACCAACAGTCACCTAGTGCTTCCTTTTAGGTGTCACAGGAAGCACAGTGGTGGATCTGCAGAAGAGAATCATTGGAGGTCAACCATGTGAGCGCCAGTACCACGTCAAACTTAAAGGAGTTGCTGCTGGTGGATCATCCAACATGTGTGGCGGCTCTCTGATCAGTGACCGGTGGATTTTGACTGCAGCTCACTGTTTGAAGGAAGGAAGGTGAGAAAAGTAACGCTTAAAATACTGTAACATCTAATGCTAAACATATACAGACTAATACACAGTGTATACACACTAATATCCATGTTTTGGTATACGGGGAGGAGAAATAAAGATAAAGGAGAGAAATGTGTTCTTCTTTAACCTCTTCCTGTGTATAGCACTATGTTTGCAGGTTTAGGTGTGCATCCAGGGGGTCTAGCACAAGAAGTGCAAATCACAGCAAAACCAGTGATCTATACAGACAAAGACAACAGGTTCCATGATATCATGCTGCTGCAGCTACCTGAGCCCACTAAGATTCAACCTGTAGCTCTTCCTGACTGTAAATATTATCCTAAAATGTGAGTTGAGTCACTCCCAAGTTGTCAAATGCTGCTGCTTGGTTAAAATATGACACTGCTTGTATCCCTCTAGCGTCATTTCTGGACACACAAACAAACAAAGGACTCTGACCCAGGAATCCAAAAGAAAACAATTTCTTTGTAGTAAAGCATGTACGTTACTACTATGGTAACTTCACCAATGACCATAGAGCCCTGCGTGTTCAGATATGATGTTACAGGGATATCTACCGCGCACCATTGAGCCCTCTTTTCTACAGTAGAAGCATGAATGTTTGCATCAAATGCTTTATGTTGATACTTTCCAGGGCTGAGATCGCAGGTCACGCTGCCACTACTGGAGGCCCAAATGATGAGAGGAGTGAGATGATCTTTTGTCATGTTTTTTATACTGTAGTCTGTAACTGCACGGACATATCCACAGCAGAGTGATTTATACTTAAATTGTATTTTTATGTATTCAGTATTTACTTTATTGTTCACCATAATTTCTTTAAACAAGTTCAGTTAAAAAAACGTTGTTTCTCTTCTTCTCTAGAACCCAGTTCATCCCCTACTCTCCACTGTGCAGACATTGAGGTTGTCAGCTGTGAAAACCTCAACAAAACCTTGCAGGCACATTTCCCAAAGGTTTACCAAGTCAAGCAGTATCAACACTGGTTCTGTGGCCAAACACCTGGAGTGGATATATGTTATGTGGGTTAAATATGTGCTCTCCTGTAAATAATAAATCTACTTTTAATAAAGTTGCAACCATTTGAATATAAGAAGTTCAATCACACAATAATTATATTACATACTAAATATCTTTCTCTCTCACAGGGGGATTCTGGAGGAGGAGTGGTGTACGAAGACAAGATTTATGGCGTCATTTCTTTTCTTGGTGATCCTGACAATGTATGTAGAAAAGCAGCTGCATTCATCGAGCTCTGCAATTTAGAATACATTACATGGATTCATACAACTATTAGCTGAGGGGAAAAAAATGTCTACAGTAGCCTATGATGTGTTTAACTGTAAAGACTCTTTCATATTGACAAACATATGAGATTACAGCTCAACAAATAATTTGTGGCTCCTGTGGTGTTGTTTTAACCCTATTTGTAACAATCAGTTTTTAGATTTGAATATAAAAGTGATAGTCACCATCCTAAGACCAGATCATCAATCGATCTGGTTCTATACTGACATTTAAACGACAAAAAATACAGAGCTCTTGCCAGAAATTTTGAAACACCAAGGTCATAAATCATCTAATCCCAAAAAAAATTATCAGCAGAATGTAACTTTTTGTGGCTTCTTTGTTTTTGTATTTATTTATTTTTTTTACCAATTTGTAACAATATGCTTTTATATTTGGATATAAAAGTGAAACTCACTATCCTCCTAAGACCAAATCATTAATCGATCTGTTTTCTGTTTCACCTATGACAAAAGAAAAATACAGGGCCCTTGCCAGGATTTTTGAGAGAGCTGGTGTTTACACTGGCTGCACCAGTCTTAAATCTTGACTTACTAACTGGTTAGAGTATTTAAAAATAAAAATTTTCATGTTGATTTAATGAATGAATTCAGAACTAACTATGGAGTGTCAAATAAGAAAACAGTGAAAAAGTGTGTTGTGAAAGCATAGTCGATAAGCCTTATTCACAGAATATAAATGATATTAATTGCTGCAATGCTTTCCAATAACTGCTGGAATGGAGCCATCATTAATGTTAGTTCAACTTGTCCTTTTTCTACTATGACAAATAAAAATGTCCGCTGTGAAAAGGTCTATAAATCTGATTCATTTTGGAAAGATGAAGAAACGAGACTGCTCTGATGCTTGCAGGGCTGATAGTGAGCTGAGTGAGATTTATTCAGAAAGAATTTTATGGTGACCACAGAGACATAAATTGTCATGAAGTCTGTTGTGTAAGTCCTGTTGTAAACCTCTTTTCAATCTGTCTTTGTGCTTTTCTCTGTTTAAAAGAATTCAGCCTGCACAATTAAAGGAAAGCCTTCCATGGTAGAACACGTTAACACCTTGTCAAATGAAGAGCGTCCCTATTGATCTTAATCTGAGCTGTCAGCCGCAAGTTTTCTGTAATCATCAAGTGAAGGATAATCCGGTTTGAAAAGGCTGCCTACCTCACTGCTGCAGACCAAACGTCTTTTTAATGGCTGCTGTTTGACAAATCGCTAAGCCTCCGAAGAGGCTTTAGGGTGAAAGGAAAGAGAAATTGATTTAACGCAGAGACGTGGTTCTTAGAAAAAGCTATCTATTAACACCTACTGTATGAGTAAGTTTGCAGTTTGTGCACAAAACGAGTGTGAGTGTTCACTTAACATCTCAGTGAGTATAGCGTCCCAGGTTTTTAACAGTTCCATTATCCATAACTTGCTTTGACATATAGGGTCCCTATTACCTATGCTTTATCTCGCTCTATGAAGATATCATTTATATTAGCATATCCTAAGAGGGCAGAAGTACATTAACTAATATGTTTAAGTCATGCTGAACATGTGAAATAAAATCTTAGAAAAATTATTTTGAAAAAAACTATTTTACCTGTTAGAGAGAAATAAAAAATGATTGTGAGAAAAAAAAATCACTTGCCTTTCAGGGCTTCCATACTTAAACCCTTAAAACATAACTGGTAAAACAAATTACATACTGATGCCACATAAACTAATCTCTGCATCCCATTACTGTATATTCATTAACGAACAGTCATAGGATTTATAATGAAAGATACATCTTTGAAATTCTTTTGGCATTTACTGTTTGCTCACGTATATCATGATAGAAATAATGAATAGAATGAGCTTTAACCCTGGTAGTCGTGGTGCTATGTGAGACCCTTTGAGCAATGCATGATTATTTGTTCCCTTATAAACACCATGCACACACTTAAGCGAATAATGAGCGATGTTCCCCACATGGTGAGGAGAAAACTGTAGCCTCATCCCCATATACACCCTTATTCAGTTATCCACTGTTAATCAGCACAAACAAATAAATCAGATTGATCACTGTCTTGATGTCTTGCCCTCTAGGAAAGCAAAGTGAGACAGATGATGATGTAGCAGATGGTAGAAATGCACTCAGATATATCAGCGTTACCTTAGGCAGACCCTCCACACTGTGCTCATTCATTTCACTGCTGCATGTCTGATGCTGCTTACAGGAAGACACTAACTGGAAAATGGCCACGTGTTTTACCAAAATTGTGTCAGCTGTGAAGAATAACATTTTCTCTGCAGACATTTTACTTGAGGAAATATCTTTAATTTTAATATCACAACAAATACATACGTTTTCTAATAACGTTTACTCAAATACAACATTGTTCAGCTCCCTGCTCATAGAAAAACTACATTCCTGATCCTTACGTTTTATCATTGTTCATCACTCTTAAAACAGCAGTTGTAAAACATTCTGAAAGTTGAGTTTGCACTCAAGGACAAATATCATTATTTGAAGCTGCACAAGACACCTGTATATATTGCTCGCCCCAAATGGGCAGTAAGATGTAGTCTGGTGTGCAGGAATTTTGGCACATAAGATAAAACTAGTAGGCTGCTCCTGGTCTTACGTCTAAGCTAACAGGGTGAATATACAGTGTGTGAACAGGGGCAGTCCGTTGCATGCACAGTAATAGCGTCTATAATGCACTTTAAAAATCAGTCTCAGAGTATGCTGTACAGAAAGGTTTGCTACCGTTTTCTTATAACTGCAAAAGCATTATTTTTTTGAAACTAGTGGAATCTAGTTGTAGTTTCCTATTAGAAACATAACAGAACTTTCAAATCATCTTCTTTTAACCCCAGGGTCAGCAGTCTGAATCTCTTTCTCTCTTCTTTCTCGTCCTACAAGAACCTGAAACAATGAAGACCACATGAATCTGTATCACAGATCACACACAGAATGAAATTCAGTGCATGTAGGACATTTAAGAAAATTCATTTCTACTTCGACGTTAAGAACAAAAGCAATTCTTTCTCTCAGCAAAGAAATGATCGTTTTGTAATTTCTCTGTAAAATGTCTTTGTATCCTGTCATATTGAAATGCCAGCGGGATGTATTCAGTTCTGCAATTATTATGGTAATTTAAAAAAAGAAAAGAGCTCAGAATTAGGTCCTTTTTTCTTTGGTGTTTTTTAGTTGCTAATGTATCTCCTGCAGACAAAAGGGTTGAATTGGTGTCTGTCAAATTATTGCAGTATTTTCTAGTGCACTGCATTACGTATCTGTCCTCCTCCTGGCAAATTGGACACCTGCCCTGAAGGCTTAGAAATAATTATCCAAGTGCTGTAATAGGGAACTTCCACATATTATACTTTGTGAAATAATTTAAGAAGAATCTGCCTTTATTCTCTGTGTATTATTATCAGACTCTCTCTCTGCAACTGATTCTCTTTGACTTGCATTCTTTCTCTTCCTCCTGTTGTGAAACTCTATGTTTGGTAAAGAAGAAGTCTTTGAATTATCTATTACTGATGAGCTGCACTGTATGTGATCAAGATTCCTCATAAGTTGTGTGTGATGAATTCACACGTAAGATCCAGGAAAAGCACATGAATTAATCATTGTGACCCCTCACATTCTCCCTCACTTGTTCACTACAGCTTTCAATTGTTCCTTTCTTCTCTGTCTTCCTTTGATCCTTCTCCTCCTCTCTCGCTGTGTTTACTGCAGACTTACCATTTACAGCAGTGAGCATGGCTTCTTCTTGACCTTGGTGGGCTGAGGACAGAGCACGGCCCGGATGGCCTCATCAAACACAGTCTTCAGGCCACGCTGGGTCAAAGCTGAGCACTCCAGGTACTTCACTGCATCTATATAAAAACAATTGTAAACAGAAAAATACATATGAATACAACTACACATAGAAACATAATTACTAAGGAGAGTAGGGCAAAGTGAAAAAGCTGAATTTATAAGTCTGTACACTAACACTGTGTATGTATCAAGTATGTAAACAACACTTTTTAAACCATATTTGTAAGGAAATACTATATACGGGACATCCCATAGAGTTGGAATAATGAACAAAACCATGAATCTGGCTGTGCGGTTATCAATTATTCCAACAGTAGAGGCGAACATGAAGTTTGGAAGAAGAATAGGAATAAGAATAGAATCTTAATTTGATGGATTTCAATATTAGGAGATTTTCATGCCACATCTGAGACATTTTCTATGCATAGGTTTTCTGGCTGCAAAGTAAAGATTTCCCCTTTTATATTTTTATTACATCATGTATTTTATCTGAGAACAATGCAAGAACTCATGGATTGCAACTCTTTGTAGCAGAATAATCCAGCCAAAACATCCAAAAAAGATGGTATTTATTAAAATAGAAATTAAATATCAATGTTCTAAATTAATGGCTGTATGGCAAAACATAACATGATAGGATCAAAATGTTTTTTAAAGAATATATGTAAAAGGTGTCTTAAACAACCAGATGCGCTAGTTGCCTTTCAAAAGCATGATATCAGACATTTCTGTCTTAGCCAGATTACCAGTTGGAAACCGTCAAAGGAATACAAACAATATTAATTCCTGTCATTAAAAGGCCCAGCCTAGATTACTTTGGCCCATCTAACATTGAAATCCTGGCACCGTGCCGAATCTGTCTGTTTAGCTGCTAAATGTGCCCTTTTGTTCATAAGCTACACTAACTTTGTTAGGCCAGGGCTACATTAGCAAATACACTTGATCTGCGTTAGATGGTCAAAAGGGTTAAAGGTTTTTTTTATCTCTAAAAACTGATGACACTAGTGTTTTACGACTGTATAACATCACATAGGCTACTTCCATCTGTCAGAGAGGATGATTGTTGGCCATTATCAATCTAACCATTCAGGCTTTTACTCTCAGTGAATTCAATTTATCACCACAGTAATGGCAGCAATCGCTGAGAGCACAACACATAAATCAACCGACATCATAGCAAACTATAATACATTGGCCATATTTTCATTTCTATAGCAACGTAGCCCATTGATATCGCTTACTGAGTGGTAGGTGTTTGCTTTGTTTCAAGCCTTCATCAGCCAAAGAGGCTACACATTTCTGCCATACAAGACCTGAAAGAACCCTGTGAGTGCTACTCACCTATCTCCTTAGCCAGAGCCAGGCCCTGAGGGTAGGTGATTGGTGCCAGCTTCTTTTCCTTCAGCTTCTCAATGGTATCCTTCTCATCCCTCAGATCCAGCTTGGTGCCCACCAGGATGATGGGTGTGGAAGGGCAATGGTGGCGAACCTCGGGGTACCACTGGCAGAGGGCAGAGTCAAAGGCAAACAAAGTGAGAAAGGGGAAGACACAAAGAGAAGGTATGTGATGAAGAAAACGACAGGGGGCGAAGGGAGACGAGAGGAGGTTGGAGGCCAGGAGGTACAAAAAAGTGGATGAAGGAGTCAGTCTGCTTTTTTAAATTGTCATGAATTACATTTCAAAAGGCAAATGGCATGCTGTAGGTATGGAAAATGTGAATAATATATGGTTGTGGTTAGGTGTAGGCTTTTTAGCTGAAGTTTCAGCCCCAACTTCCAAATAATTTCATAACATGAGCAAGGTTTTCATCTTCAGACCTGTCCTGGCTGCTTTCTCTTTTACAATTTCTCTCAAAATTCTTGCCTTTGCTCGTTCTCTCACACAGGCGCCCACTATATTGCCTTCTTTTCCTCATGCCTTTCCCTCTGATCTCTCATTTGCGTCTCCATTCTCACATTATATCTCCCTTTCCCACTTTTTTTTCTTGCTTTCTCACTCTACTCTATGCCTCTTCTATCCTCTCTCCATCCATTTTTCTCAGGAAGGAAACGAG